TTTATTACATTGTTCATCACTTGTTCTCTATTCTTTTCACACACCCTCCTTTTAATTTATTCTCTTGGCTTGTTTTAAGTAATTATCAAATCCTTTTGCTTTCCTACCTTTTGTCCTACCAGTTATTTCAATGTTGTTTCCAGAATCACATATCCTTTCAGAGTTTGGAGGGGATTTTTAATGAAAACTTTTAACATCTTTTTTTTTTTTTATTAATGCTCGTTTTACAATGCTGTGGCATTTAGAGTATTCTGGCTGTAAATAACATCGGCCCTCTATGTTGCAAAGCGAGTTCTGTCCATTTATCTTCATTTTTATTCTGAGCATCGCTGTGCTGGAGTTTTTCATCCATGAAACAAATCCATGTGCTCATCTCTCTCTCAAAAAAAAAGCAGTATTATCTTCCCTTTTTTCACAGGTGTATATTCAAGCACTCGCATTTGTGGAAATGATATTAAAATGTTACCTTAGCTGTTTAGATTAAAGGATGTAAAGGGGTAATGTACCTGCACACGGGTTGCTGTGCCTCCTTCGCCCCTGCACTTCCTCAGCTATGGAGTTGGTGCAATTGCTTTGATGAGTTGCCAGCAAGGATTGAGTGTCGCTCCTAATAACACTCGTACTTTCTCAAAGTAGTAGGTTGACAGAGAATGGCAGGAAGGGAGGGCAGACACAGAGATGCTGTGGTTAACTTACGGCTTATATCCGCTTTGGGCTCGAGGACATTCAGGCCTGGGTTATGCTCTGACTCCTTTCTTCAATAGGTGGATTTTCTTCTCCACTTAAGGTTTCACCTTTACTAGGGGACAAATATCTGCTAGTCCCTTCATCCTTTTAGGTATTTAGTTAAAAATGATCTTTTGCTGTGTCTTTGGAAAACCATGATTGATTTTCTTTTTTTTATTTTTATTTTGAGTTGACTGTGACTGAGTAATTTTTATTGGGACAATGAAAAAAAATGTAACCACAACAACTAACTTTTGTTATATTTAGTAACCCTTGCAATATGATTTAAAGCCATTTATCCTTTTATATATTTTCTTGCCTAACAACTGGAAAGCTCAGTCAGTATTTAATGTCAGTCCAACGCAAAGCAACTTATTGTGATGCAGAAAAAAATGTTTTTTAAGCTTTCAGCATTTTAATCATAAAACAAAATGTAAAAAGTTGTTTTTTTCCTCTTAAATATTATTGGTGTTGGTCAATCACATATGGTCTTATTAAAACCTAATTCATATTTTTGGCTGTAAAGTTTTACTTAAAGGTGCAGTGTGTAATAATTACAGGGATTAACTGACATAAATGTGATATATTATCCATATGTAAGCTAGTTATTATCACCTATGAACTTAAATTCTCAATCTTTATGTTTGCCTTGCCTTATAAATTGCTTTTTATAATTACTTAAAAAGAATTTTTGAATAAGAAAAATGAAATAAAACCTTTTGCTAATAGCAGTTTCTTATTTATGCATCTCTTTCAGGGTATTTCCTTATAAAAGATTACAAAATATATATAATGATGATACCATTTAATGTAGAACCATAGCTATTAAACTTCTACATAACATTGGTTTTAGTTTAGCTATTACAAAAATACCCCCCGAAAGTTCTTCACATGACAGCGATGTTGTGTTAGTTCCTGTCAAAACCAAACTTTGACTCATGGAAGGAAATTTGACTTCCAGGAAGCTAAAGGCAGAAAGAGAACTGCTGTCATTTTTTATTTTAGAGGAGCAGTGTCTTCAGTGGAATTCTCCTAATTAGCAATCCATCAAACTTTCAAACTTTTTGTTTTCCGAAAACCTTGTTGAACAATGATAAGATTATTAGTAATTGGAGTGTAAACATATATACACACTGTAAAAAGTTATAACCTTTGGTTTCATAGTGTCTTGACATGTTTTATATCAATTAAATGTCAGAAATAATGTGACAGGGATTTTTTTTTAAACTTGTTTATTACTTTGTTCAATGATGGTGAAAAGCCTAAGAAGCCTTAAAACAAAAAATATTTGTATTTCTTTTGTGTAATTTTATATGCATTTTTAATATGTGTCTGTAAATATTTAGCTTTTGCTATACATATTTAAAACTCAATTACTTGCATGTTATTGGCTCCAATCACACTGCAGATAAAGCCTGATTGTGATCTGTCATTGACTACTGTTGCCCCACAGATCATTGGCTTCATTTTCCCGCTGACTATCTTTCCACTGTGGTAATTCACGACACAGTGATCAATAGCTCCTGTCATTCCTCATTTATAGTACCCTTTTAGCATTTTATTGAATTCTTCCTTGAATAACAGACTTTTATAGACAGGCCTAAAGTAAAGGAAATACACCATATTACAAAGCTTTCTCTGCTGAGTTTAGAACTGAACCCCTTGTGCTGAGGAAACAAGGTTCTGTGAGGTTATGGTAGGCAGAAGTGGTTCTAAATGCCTCTCTGTGTTCTTGTTACTTTACTTCCAAAAAAGCACAATAAAAATCAGCACTTTGCATTGATTTTCTTTGATTTAATCATTTTAGGTTTGTAAGATAATGCCAATTTCTGTACCATGTAGCATGTCACTTATGCACATGAGACACCATTTGTTTGAGTTAAATAATAATAAACCTATACACTGATGCCTTTTTATTTAACTAACATATTTATTATAATTTATTTAATTTCCCTTTGGGATTAATAAAGTATTTTTTAATTAAATAGGATGTAGGTTTTCCAATACAATGAAAAATGTTCGTATTTTCTAAAAAACAATGACGCAAAGTCTTCATACAGAAAGTTGCATAATGAAGCTCTTCTTTCAGGACAGTTTTTGAAACTAACTTGATGTTTTACTAGAACTTAAAAGTTAGAATCCCCAAATCTAATGGTTATTCTGCATGTTACTGTTTTATGTTGATTATTGTAGACTTTCTTCTTGCTTCCACAAAATGTACATGTTAGTCTCTTAAATATTTATTTATTTATTTAGTTTATTTGATAGGGACAGATACAATAACATAGACAAAAGATGTTTTTAACATAGATCTTATAGCAGAAGCTTATTTGCAGCTCTTGTCCCTAGATGGGTTTACAAATCTAAGTTAAATATCCAATTCAGTAAGATAGCAAAGTGGCACTGGTGGTGTTTACAGGAGTAGTACAAGAAAGATAAACCTTAGCCGAACCTATTTCCCCAAGGATTAAAGATTACTCTCTACGGGCCTGTTAGTTGGATTCCCAAAACTAACAGGGCAATGTATTGAACTTCCAATTTATTGAACTTATATATCCTGACATTAAAAGTATGGATTACTGGGGCATGCAGGTGGAACAGTGGTTAGTGTGCACAACCCATGTACATAGGCCTTAGTCCTTGACGTGGCCGACCTGGGTTCGAATTTGACCTGTGGTCCTTTGCTGCATGTCTCTCCTGCTCTCTCATTCCCCCTTGCCTGTCTGCCTACTGTCAGAAAAACAAGCCACTAGTGCTGTAAAAACTCAAATATATATATATATATATATATGAATTACTCACCAACACTTGTTTAAAATGTTTTTGACCCATCAGTGCAGATTTCTAAAAGTCAAATTTGACTTTGCTGGAATTGACTGGTTATTCAGATTTGGAAATTCAGCCAAAGCCCTTATTCAACTGCTTAGACCAACACATAATTTCTGTATTGTGCTGGTGAAGTTTATCAGTCTTCCAGGTCATAGTCATTCCAAAAACATTCAAAACAATCCGAAGGACTTGGTTTTCATATTTGAAGACGTTTCGCTTCCAAACCAGGAAACTTTTTTTTATTTCAAAATGTCAGGAATAGCATTGAGTTCGAGGTTTTATACAGTAGTCAAACAAAGCCTTGTTTTTGTTTTAAAAACATGCAAATTGGAACAGACGAAGGGGGAAGGGGTACAATTTCCGTATTGTCATAATCATTTCACCATGTTTTTTCTCCCACACTGTTTACATTTGATCACTGCTGCACTTTAAGGAAATGTTATGAAAGCTGTACAAAATTTCCTTTTCTAAACACCGAAATAACAGAGTCATCACTTTTACTAAGAGTCTAAGGTGCCAATTTTACCCAGTCTTCTCCTTGTTGAAGTATGAACCTTTATTGTGGGGAGTGTTGGCCCAGTGGTTAGAGCAGTGCGCTTGAGAAGGTTGCAAGTACCCAGTTTGATCCCCACAGCCTCCACTCTGGGTTCCTGAGCAAGACCCTTAACCCCACACTGCTCCCCAGGTGCCACACAATGACAGCCCACTGCTCCCCAGCAGGCTGGGTCAAAAAGCAGAGAGTGAATTTCCCCATTGTGGTACAATAAAAAATATTAAGTTTATGAAGCAAGTGAGTCCTGAAGTGCTTAAGATGCTGTTTTGGGTTCTCGTGTGATTTTATGGAGGAACTGCTGATATGATTATAGTCTTAAAGTAATTTTCTTAGTTCTGCTATCCCTAAAAAGGTTCACTTCTAGATAATGGATTTTACTGTGTTTGCATGGTATCCCAAAGCCTTAGAAATGGCTTTGTGACTTTTAGTAACAGATAGATGTCACTTACTTTGTTTGATCTATTCTTGAATTTCTCTAGATTTAGGATAATTGGTTACTTTCTGAGATATTTTAGTCTAGTTCATGCTGCATTACATTCTTATGTGATTTCTTTATTTTACCAAACAAGTAGCAATCAAACCCCAAGGTTGTGGTTCGTAAAACTAAACAAAAAATGTGGTTAATTACAGTTAAATTATGATTTAATATGATAAGGATTACATTATTAGGAACAGCTTGGTTTGGGCAGCATTTCTAAGAGAATTTGGGAAATGTTTTTTTTTTCTGTTATTTACTCAAGCTATTGTTGTCTAATGATCTGAAACAACAGTTACGGTACCTTTTAAAAATCTAAGACTTCTGTCAGGGGGAAAGATACTGCTGGCAGCATTGTCATATTACGTTTAGGAAAGTTAACTGGATTCTTATGAACCTATCGTTTTTTTTTTCCAGAGTTTTGCAGAGAACACCATGAACGAGTTGCTGGGTTGGTACGGCTATGACAAGGTGGAGCTGAGGGACGCTGACAACTTGGAGATTGGAGAGATGCCGCAGCACATCTCAGTGCTAAAAGGTACAATACTCACAGAGACGCATTTAATTATTTGTAAAAATGTCAAAAAAAAAAACACCTTAAACCAAAAGGAAAATACTTTTTTATGAGAAATTTAGTAAGTTTATTTGAATTCTGCAATTTTAACCAAGCTTTTCAAATATGGGAATATGGGAAATGACCATATACTTCTTGTTAGATAAAGATTTTTTTCCAAATAGCTGCTTCTCCAATGTCACTGCATGGCTGGCACACATCCTGTTTATTAATTTTGTTTTAATAATTTAATTTGTTTATTTGTCAGGGACAGTACACATTGATGAACATTTCTGTAAATGTGTCAGTATTAGCTCTTTTTTCCCTGGGCAAGAAATATAATGCCAACAACAATTACAAAAAAATTAAAAATGTAAAAAATCGAGGCTACATAGTTACAAGGGCAGGTCACACAGTTCAAACAGAGATATTAGCATAAATATGTACAGGTATTTACAAGGTAACACTCGATCCTGACATTTGGCTGAGTCATGCACCAGTACCTGTGTGCTGTAGAGCGACAAATTGCCTATAGCTGTAGACTTTATAAAGCAGCAGCAAGGATTTTCATAGGTTTCATGCAGTCTCTCTATTTTGAATTCAGTTTCTATAAAGTACGGGATGAAGATATTAATTCTGATGAAGACCAGGTGTAAACTATAACCTAAACTATCCTAGAATATATATTTAAGCCTACTTTTAAATGCATTTTTTACAGTGTGGACTGGAATGTTCTCCACCTCTAGGTAACCTTAGGATCTTACATTACAGCAGGATATGCAGTGAGGAGATACATGCATGAAAATCCTAAATTTATTTAAATCCTATCTGTTGCACAGAAAACTCCTTGCCAAAAATCCCAGGTTCAACAGAGAGCAGTGAGGGCTCTCCCGATAGAGCCAACAGCTCCCTGTCCCTGCCAAACTCAAGAAATGGAGTCACTGAGCCATCCAGCACTCCATCCACCTCCACGCCAAGCAGCAGGGAGCATGGCAACATGCCAGTCATGGTCCCCATGATCCCTCCACCGCTTATCAAGCCACCTGCAGGTATTAGCATAAATGCATTTTTCTTTTGGCATTTTCTTTTTGTTGCCTAATAAAAAGTTGTGTAATACAAGTTAATGAAAAACGTGTAAATGATTTATGTTTAAGACAAAAACAAACCTATGGATTTGCATTTTAGACTAAGTTGTCACAGTCAAATCTGCCTAAACTGCTGGTTTTACCATAAACATCTTTCCTGGGTTTTTTAGTAAAATATTTTAAGACTTGATCTGAGTCATGGCTTGGCCTTTCTTGCCAGGCATGTCGACTAAACTCTGCTTCTTCATAAAGACATGTTAATCAAGGTGGTGTGTTACCTAGACTAAAAACTGTAAGATGTTTGACACCCTAGATCTATGAAACTCAATATCAGTTAAGAACTGAACTACAGTGCTTGAAGTCTCATTTAAACAAACTGAATGTTTCAGTTTATTAAAACAAGACATGATCTTAGATGGAACCTTGAGTTATTCCATGTGTAAGTGGTCAGCAGCACCACACAGCATTCCCTAAGCTTCCAGCCTAAACTCTGCCTTGCTTTTATTATATTTATCATTATATTTATTATTAAATTGATAAAAAATACAGCATTCATTATCATTGCTGATGATATCTAAATCTGCCTGTGAATTAATATGAAAACTGATGTTTCTGCTAAGCTTTATTTAGCTGTTTTAATATTAATCTGGTATACATACCTCAGTGGCGGCTGCTCCTCTATGAAACAGGGGAAGCTTAATCCAAAAAAAGTTAAAAACAAACCGATGGACTTTGTTTTCTAAGTTTGAAGATATTTTGCTTCCTGTCCAGAAAGCTTTCTCAAATCAAAATGTCTGGAGTAGCTTTTGAGTTCCAGGCTTATATAGTTGTTATGGCTAAGAAAACATGCAGTCTGACTCGAAAACAGGTCCACCCCTTGGAAATGCAAATGAACCCGAAACTGGCCCATGCCTATAAAAAAGGGAGTCATTAGGGTTGTTGTTGGCCTGGCTTAACATGTGCAATATTTTGACCACCTGCATGGCATTGAGGATTGAGGTGATATTGGGAAGGAATAAATTCTAATGCCGTATTACAGGTTTGAGTCCAGCCTCACTGGAATTGACGTATTTTGACATTTTATCCAATCAGGGCTCTAATTTATCACGGGTTACTTCAGTAGACAGAGGCTCGACCCTCAACAGGGATTTCAGGCAGCGTCCTGCTGCTCCGGAGCTGAGGGGACATTGCTTCTGGGAGCGGAATAAACATCTAATTAATGCATAACATCATGAAATTAGACGCATGTTAGCACATATTTAATGCAGTTTAATGACTAAAGTTATGAAGTTTGACAATGTATATTTTACCAATCATTTTATGAAATCTACAGGGCAGCTTTAGCCTCCCTAGTAAACACCACTGACATACCTTTAAATCTCAGAAAGAGACTAGAAAGAAATGTTGCCATTAAGAATCCCACTAGTCTGACAGTTACATTAAACCTTTCACTTAGTTCATTACAAGATACATTTTTTATATATAATTGTTTTATTTTTTTTGTTAACCCTCCCAAGAGTTAAAGAACAGAAGATAATGTCACTTCTCCATCATTGTAAACAGCAAAGTCCATCAAGATGATGTAGTAGAGATGATCAACCGTCTCAGCTGGAACCCTAAACTATTAAAAATATACTGATCTCATATAAAATATTATAAGTAGTTGAAACCCACAATGTATCTCTTTTGTTATTTGTTTCAAAAGGTGCCATTCAATTGAAGTTGACAGTGATTGAATCAAATGCTTATAAATAGTGAAAAGTTTGGCCTCTATATCATCCAGGGACAGCCAGCTAACAAGCTTGATACCTGCTGTACACCTTGGTTTCTCTCGGCCGCCCAGTTGCCAATATAATATCTCTCAGTGGAAATGTCTGCGCGCCACGGCCTGACAGGGGCTTCATTATCCCTGGTGTGTTCTGTGGACAGGAGGCTGCTACACTCCAATGGAGGAAGCGTGCTGCTTTGGCATTGCCCTAGAAGAGTCCCCACTGGCCCTGCCCAGGCAGGGAAACAGATGGTGCAGCCCCACTTAAAGCCAGGAGGCCCACGCCTTCCTAAACTCATCTCACCCCCCCCTCAAAATCATTCACACACACTCTGAATTATTCATGGATTCCTCTAAAATCCCACAAAGGCCCTTTGAGGTGCAGGTATGGAGAATGATTGTGGCATGTAGTCGGGGGGGCTGCATAATTACAGCAATAACTGTCGGCCTAAGTGTTTCCAAGGAGGTGCAAGCATCTAATTCTTTATCAATATATCTACTGTAGGAAGATCCTGTGATTATGTTTATGTTTTTGTCCATTCCGATCTTCATCAAGCTTGAAGATATGCTATTTTTTACCCTAATCCTGGCTTCAATAATAATCCCTGTAGGCACTGAGATTATGTGAATGAAAAAAGGAAGATTAAGGGAAGATAAAAATGCAGATTGAGCATACTTTCCTGTTTTTAGGGCCCAAGAGAGTTTTTTCCTCCCATAATTGTGAGTTAGTGTTTACATTAAATGGGATGGCCCTGTAGATCCATTAAGCTTCGGAAGAGGTGAAAAGCCCTTCCAGCAGTGATAAAGAGGTGACACGAGGTGAAAAACTAATGGGCCTGCTTCCTTCCCACCCTCACCCGCACACAGCCATAATGTGATAATTGGAGGATACTACAGGGAATATCGGAGGATCTTTCTCATTTCAACACCAACTGCACTAAAAGCCCAAATCTCATCATCAGCAGTCACAGCTTACCACAAAAGAGGCCTTTCACTGTCACCGAGGGGCTTTTAAAATAATTTGCTACTCAGACAGACGTTTTATTTGGATTAACTGTTTAACAACCCAAGACTGGAGAAAATCTAGAGTTAGGCTAAATACCTGATCATCAATGTGTTTGTTCTCTGCTGTACTTTCTGCTATAAAAATCCCAATCCCTTAAAGGTATAGTGGAGGATGTTCTTTTTCCAGGTGGATCATCAAAATAAGTGGTCCTCCTAACTGTCAATCATTCTGGTGATATGGTTACGTAAGGCTCATGCTCATCCCCATTTTCACTTACTTGTGGTGAGTCTGACATAGTGGAAAAATTGAAGATCTTCTTTTGGAAATTAAGCTTGTATGAGTGATGCAAACAGCAACTTTGAAACAGAGCGTACACAAGGAGAAATGGGCTTGTGCATGCTCTCGTACACGTTTAATAGACGGTCCCCTATCGGGAGCGGGTAAAGGGTTGTGCATATGCATTTCTTTTCTTTTTTTTTTATGGAGAGGGCGGGTCTTTGCGGAAATTTGCAAAGAATCCTCCAACTATACCTTTAAGAGATCTGTGCATGTGGGAACCAAAATACTGTTGAAATGTTTTTGCTATTCCAGCCCTCCAATAACTTTTTCAGGACACACTGGTTAAAAAAAAAGAATGCCATTTCAACAATTACGTCAAATATTTACAACTTTTCTGGTCATTCAGTAAAGTTATTGAAGTCTGAGTGACACATTCAGTCACATTCACTTTTAGCCAGAAAGGTCATACAAACCTAAGGAAAGTTACAGGATTTGTTGGATATAATCAAAGGATTTAATTATATTGTATTTTCAAATGTTTTTGCAAATAAATTCTACTTGCTGCCACTACTTAAATGCCATATCAATAAACAACAAACCAAAAGATAAAACATATCAAACAGCAACCGTTCCAGCTTCATGTAGTGTGACTGTTGGATAAATGTGTCAAAGGAACGGAAACTATATACCTTCAAGTTAAAAAAACACAATTAATCTCCAGAGTTGTTTGTTAATTAGTAGAAAGAATACGGCAAATTATATCATATAACCAGACGTTGGTCACATTTATATTGTTTAGCGACATTCTGCAGGCTTTACTCATTGTTTGTGGATTTTAAGCCACCAGTTTATTTTGCTTTTGCATTTAGATCTAATTTGCTTAATTCAAACAGACCAGCTGGACATAATTGGTTTGTCTTGTAGGGATGTTCAGGTCCAATATCAGCCAAAAAAACAAGTAATAAATTATTTAGTCTTATATCAGAAATCTCCAATAGATTCATGCTGATAGAAATAATCAACTTCTCTCCACTTCTTTTTAAAAATCTATGTAAGTCATTGGTTAATAACCAAAAGGTCAGCAGCTCTCATGGCTACTGTTGTTTACTATTGTTTTGAGTTTGAATAATATTGCTTGATATAAAATAAGAAATTATGTATGTTCTGTGGTTATATTGTATTTGGTCAATGTAAGAATCAGTCAAATAAAAGCTGCAAAATCAGTAAAAACCGAAACAGGAGTGAAGTTTTCATCCTTAGTTTTCTGCTTCAGTTTCAGCTTCTGCTTTTCTCCAAAATTATATTTGTACTTCCCAATCCTTAACAGGTGCTTTTGTGTATATTTGGTTTCTTTCGCAGATTATTTAACCAATTTTGTCTCTTTTTTTAGATGAAGATACATTAAATGTGCAGATAATGTGCGCTTGGTGCCAGAAGGTTGGCGTAAAACGCTATTCTCTGAGCATGGGGAGTGAGCTGAAGAGCTTCTGCAGCGAGAAGTGCTTTGCTGCCTGCCGCAGGGCCTACTTCAAGAGAAACAAGGTAGGAGCTCTTCCTTATCTTTGCCTGAGCTTTTCCGGGGCGTGGGGGTAGGGGGGGTCATTGGTCTCTAGTTAAACTGTCACAACATTACTGATAATGAAGAATGATGCTGGGTGATTCATAAATACACAAAACAAACATGAATTAGCAGATTATCTTTGACTTATTCATTCTCATGAAGTGAATAAACATTAAGAAAAAGTTTTAGGGGATTTTATCCCTTCAGCTGTTTTTTTTTTTAAATGTGATTTAGAAGGAATCCTTTTAATAGACATAAAAAGTACAAACTTCTTACTTTATTTTCTTCAAAGTTAAGAAGCCCAAAACAATTTTACTTCTAAACGCTTCTCTAAGTTAAACTTAACAAACCATAGAAACTCACAACAAGAAGAGAAATCCAAAGTAATATCAGAAAAAAGTGCTTTCCTCCATACCATTATTTCTGGTAATGTAATTATTTGACAGTCGTCAGATCCCCTGGATTTTGTGGTTGCACAACAAAACTGCTAATTGACTTTGGTTGGGATTGTTTAGGTAGTAGCTGCATGCAATTAACTCTGCCTTTGCAAACCCTTATGTAATCTGTAGTTTAGGCAAGGCAAGGCAAGGCAAGGCAGGTTTATTTGTATAGCACATTTCATGTACAGAACAATTCAAAGTGCTTTACATAAAACATTATAAGCAAAAGGGAGAGAAAACAATTAAAAACAATTAAAAGCGAGTTTAATATAAAGTCAATATAAAGAGCTACTTCTTTAAACTTATAAATGTAAATTAATGTAATGTAAAATCCTAAATTTTTCTGTTCCACTGCCAAAAATAAGCTTAGCCACGAAGCTGCAGAGACTTTGTCACTGTAGAACATTTTTCTAACTCTGCTCAATTTGTTTTTCAAATGTATTAGAGTTAAAATACACCGAATAAGCAAGTGTAAACATATTTATAAAATACATTTTAGGACATCCTCAGGTTTTAGAAGAAAATGCACCGGATATGAAGAAAACAAGGTACCAGGATATTTTGGTTAGTATATATTGCGAGCAGTTTTTCTGGTATCTTGCTAAAGCCAGGCATACACTGTACCATTTTTTTTACCCTTTTTCAGGCCAATTCTCCAGTCGTGCGAGAATTTTTCGATCAGGCCGACTTTCAGCCTCATCGTGCGTCCTGCGTTGACGGTAACGAGGGGCAATTCGCCTCTCGCGACCACCTCCTGATCAAAAATTGTAAGGTTGGGAGAAAATCGAACATGTTTGAAATTCAGTTGGCCGTCGTGAGGTTTTCCTGAACAAATTCTGCTGTTGAAGCAGAGCTACGAGCGTCTACGAGCTGATTTACCAGAACCTCGAGCATTGCGCATGTGCAAACAACGGAGTTCTTCTTCTCCTTCTTCCAGATTGATGAGTCCGACCAGCGTCATCACTCCGCGCTGAGTCCGACGTGGGGTTTTTGGACGTGCAGTGTGAGGAAAATACATTGTGAGCTGTTAACTTTTAAACCCTGTGGTTTTATCATACAGTTTGAGCTGTAGCTGCTTGCAACAATTGAAAATATATCTCAGTGTATGCCTGGCTTTAATAATCAACCAACAAAGTAATAAATAGCGAGAAAAACATGACTGCATTCAGACAGGTATGTAGATATGAATAGTGGTGGTGGGTGGATTGTTGCAAAATATCGGTAATTAAGGATGTCCCGATCAGCATTTTAGGCCTCCGATCACGATCTGATCTTTTAACCTCAAATTCGATGCGATTTCGAGTCCCGATTGATATTCTGATTTCAGTATTGAAATGTATAAAACTTAACTTTTAATAAGACTAATATTTCATTATTATTGTAAATCCCATGAAATCAAAATCTTACTGAGAATTAAAGGTCAGCTTCAATTTAATATTTTAGAAAAACACTGACTTGGTACAGTATTATCAAAAAGAAAGTGCTATCCAAGATTCACTTTTAGCTTATTAGTGGTTAACATAGGCTGCCATAATGTCAATAAAAAACGAAATGCACTGAGCAAATTTTAAATGCCCTTTCTCATCTTAAATGTGGTGTGAACAGATTGACAAATAGTCACAATGTAGTGTCTCGATGGAAGAGCATAGCGGGGGTCCAAAACTTCTGGAACACGAGTTAGTCTAACATTCTCAACTACTGAGATGGGCTGGTTGTTAAGAGCAACAAATTCGACCAACCTTTCTGTGAACTTCTTTGCTCTCTTATTTTCGTTGGAGTATTTGTCTCTCCTCATAACGTCCAGCGCTTGTTGCTTTGCTTTAGCAACCTTTTCATCTGCAGCTTCACAAAACGCTTCATACACATTGTCATGTTTTGAATCAAGTTTGTGGTGTTAAATGTAGCTCTGCTGCTACCTCCCCTTGAAATTGCCATGTTGCAGACATTGCAAGTAGCTTTAGGACAGTCTGATCTATGCAATTGCGCTGTTTCGCCAAAAAGACAACAGCTACGGTGGCCGCCACAAGACTAGCTGAGTAAAGCGGGAGTAGGCAGCCTCCCCTCGTCCCTTTGTTTCTTTTTTCCGCAGCGAGGCTTCTGATAATAATTCTTTTGTTATTATACTAATAATGATTTTATAATTTTATATACTTTTTCAGTTGATAAAAATGTTGAAAATAATTGCAGCAGGAGGGAGAAATGTAAATGTAATTTAATATCTGTATTTACGTTTCTAAACTTTCAATTCACTTTTGAATTATAATTTTTTACTAATTTCCAACTTTGTGTTGTCTTCCAATTTTTCCTTCTTATCTTAGTAATAACATGTTTTTAAGGTAGTCGCCTATAAACCACTAAATTCTGTGATAGGTTTTATTAAAAAAAATAAAAAACCTTTAGTGAACAGGGTGAACATTAATACCCTGATGACTTTCTGCTGAGGTGTAGAAACTGGATCTCCACAGACAGAAGTTAGTTGTTTTAGTGCTCTGGCTAAAGAAAATAAAAAAAAATCCTAAATTCCCGTTTTTTGGAGATCTGATTCCGAGTGCCTTTTTCTTTTTTTTTTTTTTTTTAAGGCTTGAGGATGTCCTGATACTAATCTTTAGTGCTAACTACGAAACTGATTAATCACAAACATAACATTATGAGCTATTTGCTTTTCTCTCATGTTTTCTTTTACGTTTCATATTTACACAAAAATATAAATTGAATTATTAGTTTTCAGATTAGGCCAAATAAATACATTTATCATCAGCATACTTGCACATGCACAAAGCTAGTCTAATGCTATCATTTGACTGCTTATTCTCAAAAGCTATTATTAAAATTGGGCAGAGAGTTTCTATCAGAAATATAATTTATTGCATCATAGATAACTCCTTATCTAGTGAGTTTGATGTTTATTGCTCACAGCATAGCAGCTAATATGGACTCAGTGCAAACACACAATACAGTTCATACTGTCCAGAGACAGAAACCATTCCGGATAAAAATTATTAGTTTCTCCTATTCAATAAACTAGGATTATATGTGAATAAATAGGTTGTATCTTAGTTGATAATGCACCTCCAGATATGACAAATAAAAGTTTTACACTGCTCTCTGCAGGAAACGTATTTGAAGTTTTCAAATAGATTGCAATTTGCAGTTTTGGAATCAAAGCAGTAAGTTTTTGTAGCAGTTGTGTAATAGGTAAATATAATATATCATTGAATAGCTATCTTCTTGTAGCCTTTTAGCATATTTTGGTTGTAAGTCTTATACTTTCCTGACTTATTTGGATCAATGCACATCAGCTTTTCTTGAATAATGTTTTTTTACTTCTCCACTATTTTAAAAAGTGACTGATTGTTCCTCTGTATTATCTCATATTTATACCCTTAGAGAAACAGGAACGTATGCACTGCAAATCAAAGGTTTCCTGGACACTTTAATCAACCTAAAAAGAATCTTTAACTTTCATTTGCTTTTTACATGAATTGTTGAGGCTCTGAATGTGCTGCTCTTCTGGTGAAAAGGTTGGATTTAAAGCGGGATTTTTATAACTTATTCAGTATTAGATCGTACTCCTGCAGTAAAAGATTATTGATTTGAAGACCTTTTCAAACACCTTTACCAGGACCACCATTAATAGTGGAGGTTGCTCTACCTACTAAATTAAATCTTGTTTAACTGCACTCTCATTTTCTTTGCTGTGGTTAAACAAATCTCCTTTCTCTTTTATACCCAAGCTGGGATATATAAGGAATTATACAGTGAGTATACCATATTTCACTCTACGTTTTGTCCGTCCTGAAATTCATCCAAATAAGCACAACACTACAGCAGATAAATGCACCTGAACTTTGTTCATTTAATGTCTCTCTTCCCCGACACTATTTCCCAAAGCATGTAAAATTCAACCTGAATGTTCCAGCTGCTGTATTATTGTTTATAGTATTATTCGAATGTGCTTTTTTAAATATGATTTTGTTTAGCATCAAAGTAGAGTGTAATCAAACTAAATGTTGACAGAATGACAGATAGCTCAGCTCCCTCTGGTGATTTAAAGCATTCAATGACATTTGAAACTCAGTGGGGAACTTTGACAGGTGCAAGAACAACTAAACTTTATACTACATAAAAAAAATACCTCTTTTAAACATGTTTCATTTATATCTGCGCAGATTAACCAGGGAAGTTATAGCATTATACTAAATAAAAAGCTTATTTGAGGTTTGTTTCTTGCTTTTATTACACTGTCTAGATCAGTGGTTCCCAAAGATTTTCTTCTGGGCCCCCCTTTGGATTACAATAAAATTTCCACGCCCCCCCCCCCAAAAAAAAAAAAAAAAAAAAAAAAAAAACACAACTGAACACACATCGTTCTACCAGATATAATAAACCTATACACATATTTTGTTTTCAAACTCCACTGAAGTTTATTTCACACTTCAGGTTGCAACAAAACAAACTACACCATCTTTAGAGTGGAACACTTTTGTGTAACTGTATTTTTTTCATAGTTCTATACTGTAGATTAGAAGAGGATTCTTTGTTGTCTGTGTTATTTTAAACATATTTCTTTTTTTATTTTATTTGTAACAATATTTAACTTTGCTATCATCAATACATTAAAAAAGCCTCTGTGCAAAATGGAGTGAAAACATTGAACAGCTCCCTGAGAGTTTTTTCTTTGTACATTAATCCTCCCATCTATTCAGTGGCTGTAGTGAGCCTGCTTGTTGCTGCAGATCTTCTCAAATGTGGGTTGCAGTGTCACAACTGTCCATTATGCTCAGTCAAGCAAGCGCTGTTTTTTTTTTTTTTTCTTCATTCATCCATACCGCTTCCCGCGCCCCCCCTGCAATGGCATTGCGCCCCCCCTAGGGGGCGCGCCCCACACTTTGGGAACCACTGGTCTAGATTAAGAATAGATAACAAATTTTGGTTAGTCAAGAAAAAACAGGAAAAACGATTATGAAGTGAAAATACATAAAGAGAAAGCAACATGTGGGCAAAAAAAGACTGATACCATAAACCAAGAGCCATTTTTCATGCAATATGACTGAACCCAGCTGCGTTATCTCCTCCACTTTCATTATTTAGCTTCAGCTTTCTAACTGCCTGCCTCCCATTAAGACATTTGTAGCCCTATTGTTATCCCAAACCCACCTTAAACCTATCTGTTACCCCTACCACACACTTCACCACTGTCTCGCTGCCCTGGAACATGCCTTCAGATAAGGTAAAGTGCAAAGTATTCTTATTTCGTGAAGTTTTTCACGTTCTCTTAAAAAAAAACAAATTATGCCCTCATATGAACATTATCTGTTAACATACATTTTTTTATGTATTGCTGCCTAATCTCAATTGGTCATCCATGAGATGGTTCTATCTACAGTTGTTCTTGATTTGCATGTTAGAGGATTTCAGATTGCAGCGAAGCTACTGTACACTGGGCTCTATTAAGAGATATCAGACTAAAACAGTTGATAGATTTATGGTATATCACTTAAAATATTTGGAAGATGAAGAAAATGATGGTGTGTAAGACATGGTACATCTTCCCCCCAAATGACTCTCTCTTTAGTGTAATCTGTTTTCTTATTTGGTGCAGTCAACTTTCACCTCAACAGATTATGCATGCTTTTAATAATTAACCTGCAGCTGTTCTATTTGCCAAGAAGACATGCTGGCTGTTTCATCGGCAGAATGCACGTGTTCAAACATCCCAAACAGAACAGTTTTCCTCTCCCTCAGTGGCTCAGATTCCATATTTTGTCTGGCTGTCGCACATTTATGCAGTCCATTTGTGTAAACGATACCCATATGTTTCTTTCCCCATGCACCCACAAGGCTGCACACAGCAAAGCGGCCTGCAGGCTTTCTCCTATTCCTCACATCTCCCCATGTTTGTGCACGCTTTGGATAGAGGTGTAGACATAGGGGGGTGGGGGGGTTGTGAGTGGGAATCGTGTTGCATGAAGCATCCTCAGCTGCTTCCCTCATGAAGTCTAATCCCCTTCTCGTGTGACGACGGTAGCGACTTTCTCACATCTCTGCATAGCTCCACATTATCCGGGGCTTGTCTGTGTGCAGTGAATGATGATGGATAGTTTAATTCAAGCTAATCACTTGTGTTTCTGTTTACTGTGTCTTTAGCCTCTTCATTTATATGGAAGAAACCACTTCTAAACTTCCAGCACTCAATTATTCTGTGTCTCTTCTGCTAATGACATACATAAAATCACAGCTCAACACACTGAAAATCTTTGGGGAATGATGCTGAAGTTCTTTGAGAAGTTTGGGCTGTTTGCATGAAAAAAACAAATCACGTTAGCCTTCAGCTGTTGATGAAAAGCTCCTTAGCTGCAGCTCCTTTAAAATTATTAAATTATGCAAGGTTCACATTTATCAAACTCCCGCTCGTATAGTAAGAAACATGCATACAGTACATAACACAGCATGAGGTTTGAAATGTAACAAAGATCCTGAATGTTGCACAAGTTACCTTTGCTGTCCGATTAAAGTGATCAGCTTTTCATTTTGCTCATACGTAAGTTATCCATGGTCAATATTTCAAGTATTAAAACATAATTCGTCATGTAATGGATGGACCCAGCAGCAGAGAGGAAGGAGGCAGAATCACAACAAAGATGACATTTAAGGAAATAAAATAAAAGTAAATAAACATATAGAGCGCTTGAAGACACAGGGGAAATGGGCCAAATAGATTTTAGGATTTATAAGTGCTGGATCTGTAATAATTGGATGGGTGGATGATAAGACCAAGCTGCAGGTTGATGGGAAAGGAAGGCTGAGGAGACAAACCTGGTAATGGTACTACATGCTTACACATACAGAATTTGAACACAACAGCAAATGAAAACTCAGAAGAAGCACTGGGATAATAATAATAACTGCACAGAAAATGATTAAACAACCTTAGCCTGTAAATAAATGTGAAGTCCAGCAAATCATGACATAGCCATGCAGTCTATGCCGTATTTTTCCAAAACAATTTGACAATTTATCACAGGAGATAATAATGAATAGCGAAATTATCCTTTATTCCAGCGTATTCACATGTAAATCGGAGGCTGAGATAGTGGGAGAAGCAGATCACTATGTAGCTGTTGAATCATTGGGGTTGAGTTCAGTTTTTTGTGTCACAGATTGTTTTTTTTTTTTGTTTTTTTTGCAGTGTGCAAAATGTTAAAATTTGTTAAATCAAATAGATTAGAGAACATCAGTGACTATTTAAATGTGTACACCTTACATGAGAAAAGCAAATGACACTCTTGGGGTCCTTACTGGGAATTTTGGAGACCTTATTAGCTGAACTGTTTGCATAATAAAATGTATTAATCTTTTTTTTTTTTACTTTCCTTTCTAAAGTTAAAAAGCCGTATCAATCCTCCACTAAACCATTAGATATTTGTTGTTTTATTATCATAATTTTTTTTCTTCTAGCCTCACCTACTGGGTTATATCTAAAAAAAAAAAAAACTCAATATGTCTGTGATGATGGTACAGAAAAGCCACTATGTATGGTTGTGAAATAAATGTGGCTAATCCTGGTTGTTACAAATTGCATTTTCAACCTTTAAATTGCATTAATTGTAATTACGAGAATAAATTTGCTAAAAGGAAACAATACAGTTTCTTTACGCTTTGATTGGTTGGTTTTTCGGTTGCATTGGAGTTATTATTTCACAAAACTGCAATGGAAACTCTTTTTTACGCATCACACAGGTCATATGATCGTCAACTGGACCTTACCATCCTGTAAACAGATGAAGGAAGAGACAGGAAGCAGTAGGAGGTGGCGGAGCATATTTGGATTCATGTGGATATTTTACATTTTTGATTGCATTTTATTTCTTATGGAAATACTGCAAATCTGAAAATGAGCGTTTTAGAATTTAGCAGAATTATGCCATGGTTTTGCACACATTTGTAATGGAAACCCAGCTATAGTTATGCTGGTGAAGATTTTCAGTCACCCAGGTCATTGTCACCTCTAGATCCAAAAGTATCCATACTCTAACTGTAAAACTAGTGGAAGAAGTGAATTCCTGTTACTGTAATTTTTGCACTTAAGTAAAAAAGCATGATGACTTCTTGTCATTATGCAATTAGGTACAAATCACTAAATAACGACTCCTACAAAGAGTGATCAGCTTTAAAATGTTTTGACTTTATTATTATATTGCTTCACTTACTATGATTTTTCTCTTATTTGAGAGGGTGCTAAAACTAGTTGTGAGAAAGTATTAAAATTAGAGGGTACATTTCTGTACTGCAGTAAAGTGAATTGTAAAGAGTTTTAATAGGGTAGTAATAAATATGGAAGGTGGTTTAAGAATTTGTGTTTTAAAAGCTTTTTTGCAGGGTTTTTGTAACCCATGCGTTGCTGCCACTGTGGAGAAATTCTGCTTGTTCCTGATAAAATAACTAATTTATCTTTGTTTTAAGCAATTGAGTTTTATAATTTTTACTTTATATTATTTTCTTGGGGTTTTTTGTTTGTTTGTAATGCCATCTTGGTAATGACAAACTACTTCTTTTTCCTATCATGATTTATTTAAGAAAAGAGGAGCATTTAAAAGCATGTCATGGGAAGACTTCAGTTCGCAGGTTGTTTCTGCTGCAGCACACACTTTCCTTTTCTTGTTCACACCATCAAACCTCCCCCACCTTCTCCTATGAGACCTCAGACCTCCATCAGTGTCTTTCCCCGAGAGCTCGCTCCAGGCACGAGGGGGCAGAGTGTCGCTTCATGTCAGCCCAGAAATGTCACATCACCTCCAACATGCACACAAACCTGCCTCCCTGCTTCTCCACCCTCCATGCTTTTCCATCAGCTGCCATAGTGGGAGAAATGTACGAGAGCGATGAGGACATCTATCAGAGTGTGTCTCTGTACGTGCCTCGGTGTGTGTGAATTTTTCTGTGCATGTGATGAAGACTGTAAAGAGTCTGCACGTTGCAGCTGAGGCCCGCTGGAGCTTGGGAAGCCCTGCAGGCCTGCCTTACACCGCTGCAGGGCACAGAGAGGAAGGTGATTATCTCATAGCTGCCAGCCATCTAGCTCAAATAAAGAAAAAAGTAAAACTCCAACTAACAAGACGTGAAGACTGTAAAAGTAAACATGAACTTGGATGGCTTTGTGACATTTCTTTAACTCGTACTATAGATAAAGTCTGTAGTATAATCTTTTTCACATTCAGGAATGTTTTGCCAGAGAGCTTGTTATGACAACAGCAATTACCATTGGAATGTTTTCCCTTGAGATTTGTGGACCTCTTATGCCTGAATGATTAACAGGTCAGATAAAAGTTCCCAAAGTCCAACAAATCAAGACATTTTCTAAAGATGACAAGAAGGTCTAACTGCTTGAAAGTGACTTAAGATTTCTTTTTAGCAGATGCAAATGTACCTGAACCCTTCAGAAAGAGTAGAGTAAAATAGAAGCTGTGCAATGTGCAGACATCACAGAGGAAAAACAGCAAAGTAATGTTTGGGTTAATTGTTGTTTTATATATATATTTCAGAGGGTTTACAGTTGTTATTTGCCTGCTGCCATGTGGGATGCACTTTTATGGTTTGGAATCAACAATCAGCTCCATAATGCACTGTGTGCATCAACATTGGTGTCTTATTTTAGAAAACATTGTTTATTGTAGAAGAGAAGTTATTTTTGGCAAGTGATGGACACACACACCTGGATGGGTGTGCGTGCCCAGATGGAAGACAGCATGTCGACTGTCTGCAGGTCTTACATCCCCTCTGGACCGCGGCATCAAGAGAGGGCAGTCATGAGGAGGATATCTTCCTTTGGATAGATGGATGAAGTATTGATGAGTACGGTACTTCATTTGCTCCTGATAGATATAAATTAAACAATAAAATTCATTTGCTCAATATTTCTAAATATTTCTCATGATCAAATTTTTCTTAAAATAACACTGCATATCTGTCTCTCCATCGATGTCTGTCTTTGTGTGGCTCTCTGCGAGCCCTGAGCCTTGTTCATGGTGCCAACACCTCATTAGTACAATATGCAAATGATCTGGAACGGGGCCAGAGGGTCAGAGCACCAACTGGAGGCTGAATAATCGCACATTGCTGCAGCTTTCTTCAGTCTTGAGACTGTGTGTTTGCCACGGAGAGTTTTCTGAGTCCTCAGATTTCTCCCCAGTTAATGTCCGTTTAGCTGTCTGGAGTCTGTAGAACACATCAACGATTAGACTGGCCTGCTATTGGCAACGTTTATTAGCAGTTTAAAAAGTTTTCAGAATGAAATTGCCCTTACAAATTAGAGTTGATGAATTGCATAGTAAAGGAAACATAGTCTCACATACACTGAAAAAAACAACTATAATATATTGTATTTGCACGCAAATGATTTAAGTCAAACTGAATGCTGCCATATCAAGTAACATTCACCTGCCAGTATCATGTGAATTTTACTTTCCATAAGACATAACAGATATTAAGTAACATTTCCTTAATTACATCCAAGTTGTAAGTTAGTTAAAAAAAAACAAAAAAACAAATTAAGTAAAGTGCACCTGTTTTTCATTGGCACAAACAGCATTTACTCATAATTTTAAGGCAACACAGAGACAAACAACCATTCATACTCACACTTACGAGAAGCCGATTAACCTAATATTCATGTTTATGGACTGCAGAAGGAAGCAGGAGTACCTTGAAAGAACCATGCATGCACAGGGAGAACATGCAAACTCCATGCAGAAAGACCAGGGGCCAGGAATCGAACCCAGAACCTTTTTTTTCTTTCAACTTTATTTTTATTAAACTTTTTCTTGCAAAGCAGAAGCCGCTGGAGCCGCGGAAAACAAAGAACAGATAGTGCTTAACAAATACAGAAATTCAGGCCTAACATAATAAACAAAATACACAGAAAAAATAAATAAATAAAATGAAACAAATAAACAAAAGAGGAAAAACAAAACAACGAGTAATCAGGGAGACCAATATATATATATATATATATATAGTATCCACACAAATATGATAGCTTGTCACATTATAACTCTGGGTCTTTTTCCCAGGCCAGTTCCATAAGTCTTGACCTCACTCTACGGGATGTGGTGACATCAAGGTAGCCCAGAAAAGGTTCCCAGGTCCGATAGAATACAAAGGGTTTGTCTTTTAATGTCCCCAGAACCTTTTTGCTGCAAGACGGCAGTGCTAACCACTGCGACGCCCTAAACAAAATTAAAAATGAACAGCTTAAACTGTCTAACCATCTCAATGTAGAATAAAATCTCTAATAGATACTGAATAAAAAAGTATCTGCTATTTTTTGCGAAATGTCATATACCTTATTTAGCAAAAAATAAAAACCATTAATGACACTAAGATTAATTGGATCCCACTGCTAATTCCTACCCTAAGATGACAAAGTCATGAATTCATTTAGGAAGCAACTTCAACTTGAGGTTGTTTACTTTTGGGAACAGTTTAAATCCATCCAACTCCAGGAAAAGTATTTATAAGACTTAAAAAGTGTAGTGCAAAGTGGGAGGGTATGCCAAGTTTAGGGCATATATCAGTCCCATGAGCAGCGAGCAGGCTTTTGCTGGACTGTTGCACCCCGTCAAAATGACTGTAGTCGGGACTACGTCCTGCTCCGTGTGTGATTCTGTAACGTCTGGACTCGGAGCAGAATCAGTCCTGCTGTGAGTTACAGTGCTTGTTCAAAATGCTACATTTTTAGATTAAAGTTTATGTAGTATTTTTTGGTTTATGTACATACTGCTGCTAAACATTGAAATAGTATAAGGGAATCTAAGTAAAACTTTCCCTTTTCCCAAAATTCATGTATTACATAAAAAAAAGGTTTCATTTTACTTCGGAAATTCTAGTTTCTACCGAAGCTAAGAAATACAGAGTAGAAATTATGAAGAATACTCTAATAGAGTTTACTGCACCAAAAAGTAACTTTTTTCATGAAGTGTTTGACATTTCACTCCTTTAAGGGGAATATAGACCTTAAGGGGCCCATAACTAACAACAAACATCTATCACAACAGATGTTCAGGAGTGTTTGGCTGCACAGTCTGACCCGATTATATAACACCTCCCTGGATTTCTTTTATTGAATTAATTTACACTGTGCATAAAATCCTGCTTGAATCCATGTTTGAGAGGATTGTACTTTTAATGCTGCAATAAGGTACTCACTTAAATGACAATCAGGGGTGGGTAGAATACCAAGAAAATGTACTCAAGTAAAAGTAGCCCTACTTCTACCAATTTCTAGTTGTGTAAATGTAAAAATTAGTCACCCAATAAATTATTTAAGTTAGAATAAAAAAGTATTTGTTTAAAAAGGCTGCCTCAAGTACTGAGTACTTAGTACCTGTATTACTGTTTAAAATGACACAAGTTAAACATACCATAATATAAAGTTATGTAAAAAGTCCTTTTGTTTTAAAAAACAAAAAGAAAGTAATGAATACAAATAAAAAAAAAAATATTTCAGAAATAAAAGCTCAGGCAGAAAAAACACTTCAAAATCCATTCAGCTGGAGTTGTGTTATTCTATGTATGTTAAGTAGATTAGGAACACATTTTAAAATAGTTTTTAAAAACAAATGATGACTTTTAATCTGGTTTTACAGCGTATAAGTGTTTCTCTGCTCTTAAAATACAACCTTAGCCTTCAGTCTAGCTTGTTGGGATTTTAACCGGTTATTTAACAAAAACTAGAGCATACTTAGGAGGCGGCTGCATGGTTTTCAACCTTTTTAGAAAAATTAAATTCTGAAAATTTGTGTTTTGCACAATCTAGATTCCAAGCATTTTGCGGCCCGTCTCAGATTTGTATATCAAATAGATTTTTTCTTTAACTTTTTAAAAAACTTTCAACTATTACCACAGCAGATCATATCTGGACTTGGACTAGGCCACTCTAACATCACTATGACATTACCCCCACCCCACTTCTAAGTCTTTTGGCAGCATAGAAGCAGGTGTTCTCCCAGGATTACCCTGTATTTGTAATGATCTCTGTCCTCCTCTATCCAGTAACTTTGATTAGCTTCCCCGTCCTTCCTTAAGATGAACATCCCCGCAGCCCCATATGGATAGTTTGGCCTTTTTTTTATTTTGAAAATGACAAAATATAAAAAGGTTTTGGGATCAATGAATACTTTTGCTGATCACAGTATTCGGGCATCACTAAACACATTCTGAAGTGGCCCGTTTACTTCAGATATCCGAGGGTGAAAATAAAACTACACAAGCATGTTTGCATGTTTACTTGGCCTGTCATAAAACTTTACAACCACCATTTCAGTTCATCATTTTTTATCACACTTGTGTTGTATTTCTGTCTTTTTTTTTTTTTTTTGTTGCCTCTGTTCACCTGTTTTATTTGTCCATCCTTAAAAAGTAGCCATTATTTCTCCTCAGACGAGAGACGACTGCAGCCTTGGAGGGAAATTACCCCGGCACGTCTTAACTCGGGACGCCCCCCGGCTTGTCTTCAAGACAAACAGCGATGTTCTTGTAAGAATCATGACCATTTAATACCAGACACAGCTTCAGCTCTGAGTCCTTCAGAGCTTGCATTCATTTCATTTTGATGTTTGAAAACTTTTTTTGTGCTTTTAATCTTTTTTTTTTTTTGTCATGTATCATGTCCTGTTACAAAAAGACAGACATATATTCAATATTCATCCCCTCTGGAACTTTTCTATATTTTGTGATTTTACAACCATCATTACATTTGTATTTTATTGAGGTTTTTTTTTTTCATAAATCAACAATAAATCAATCTTAGAAGTGTGGCATGCATTTCTGTTTAGTCCAAAAAACCTTAAATCAAATTAAGTACAACGCATTTCTTTTGAGAAATCAGAATCAGAAATACTTTAATTATATATAATTATATATATACTTTAATTTATACATACATATATATATATATATATATATATATATATATATATATATATATATATATATATATATATATATATATAACTCTTCTGTATATATATGTATATATATGCTTATGTATGTCTACTGTAAATCCAAGTAAAGTGATACTGACGTGCAAAAATAGTGGCCTAGTTCGTCAATAGAATCAACTTATTTGTGAAAATGGAAAGAAGCATGATATAACTGCAAACCAGTAGGACTGATATTCTTTTTGTAAAATCAAAGCTAATACAGCACAACACCCTGGACACACCACCCCCAAGGTGAAGCATGGTGGTGACAGCACCATTCTGAGGAGATGTTTTTAAGGTCTCTCTCCTGGGTCTGTTACTTCTGCTCGTTAACCTCTGAGAAGCAGATGACAATGAAAGAAGAAACATCACTTTTTTTGTTTCTTTATTTGAGTCAACCAAAGAATGTGAATGGTTGAACTGATTATGAAGTATTTATTTGAATTTATTTCAAAGCTGGTGTCCTTTACTGTTCTGTATTAGCTCTTTCCTTTTTATTTTTAGTGAAATTTGACTCTTTTAGGATATAAACCTAAACACGTATGCAAATTTATTATTCAATTTTTTAGATCAATTATTTGAAAAACATTTGTTATCTTTCTTTTCTTTAAACCGACAGCTCTCTGAAAAAGATCAGAGTTTCTGCAGTAACATTTAAACCCAATCCACCACTTAAGTCTCATATTTCTTGCAGCCACTAACCCTGCCGAAAAGTCTGTGCTGGTAAATCCTCTAACACAGCCTCATTTGGCCCCTTTAAAAAAGTTTTTTACTTATCACATTTATAATGACTGATAGGATGGCTGGCTGTAACAAGAGTAGCCTTGAGACAGAGACGGTCACTTGACTTTTATCTACAGTTTAGAGTTTTTATTTGCCATTTAGATTTTAATGAACTCACACACAGTGTAACAGGAGAAACAGAAACAGGAGATTAACGAGACATTTTTCCTCCTTTAAAAATCAGGTCATTATAATCATCCCAACAATAAACAATGTCTCATCAAACTGATTATTAATCCTAACGTTAAAGTTTCAAATTGTCTTCCAGAGGTTAAACTCTTGACGCAAACCTCCTTGGAGCTTCCTTTTTAGCAGATCAGTTCCATGAAAATACCTTCCTTTGTTGCCTTGTGAGCATTTATTAATTGGTGGATTGCTCTTTATGTGGACGAAGATCATTTTATGAAGCTAAACCAGGTAGCTGCGCTGGTTGCTGACAACCACTACACTCTTTGCTGATGAACATTCTCAGTCATCCAGGTCATAGTCATTCCGTAAAAGTTTAAAAAACAATCCACTGGACTTGGTTTCCAAGGTTTGAAGACATTTCGCTTCCCCTCCAGGAAGCTTTCTCAATTCAAATGTCTGGATCCGCAGTGAGTTTGAGGCTTTATATAGACAAGGCCTTGTATTGCTTGGAAACATGCAATACACTCTTACATGCATAAACTCTTTTTAATGCTATGTAGTTTACACAAAAATTCATTTTTAGTATTTACTCAATGTCTTTTAATTTCTGCAATTTGATCTCAGGGAGGAAGGATTATGAAATAACTAAACGCTGGCCAACAGACTAATGAGAGACAATTATGGACTGTGCGTGAAATATTCATTATTCCTGAGTCCATCCACATGGAGGACATCTATTCTCTCACTTAACAAGTGAATAGTTCCTTTTGTAAACTGTCCCCTTGAACAGCTGATTTGCAACAGTTAGTTGCTATTAGAACGAACATAACTTAATTAGGAGCAGTTTGTTGGTATTACTGGTCACACAGGCAGCCTGCATGGATATAAAATCCAGATGAAGCAAACATGGTGTTTCAGTTATTTTTTAAACATTAATTCAAATAAAACATATTAGATGGGAATTTGACATCTTTTTTCATATTTCAGCTTAGATTTAAAAATCTAAATCAGTATCAGTTACATTTACTTGAGCACCATTTAAAAAAAAATCTACTTTTAGGAGTAGGTTTACTCTGCCATATTTGTTACTTTTACTTGAGTAATATTCTTGTAAAGTATTGCTAATCCTACCTTAAAAAAGTTATGACTACTCCTGTCTTCTGAGAGCAATTTGAACTATTCTAAGATCAGGTAAACATACAGTAAACGGTAGATATTATCAGTAGTTCTTTACCCTGTCCTAACATAAATACAGTTCTCACTATAAGGGTTAGTTTTCTACGTTTTATGTGGAACAAAAAAGGTTTGGTACAAGTTTTTCTTCTGCATGCATTTGTTCTTTTTAAAATGTATTTGTATTTTTTTATGCATTTGGGTGTTTAAAAAAACAGAAATTACACATAAAGCCTGTCGGTCATCATTTCTAAACATTAAAGATGTTAGTATCTGACAATTGTTTAGTTCCCAAGTAGCCTTTTTACTAAATACTTTTTGCTTTTACTTGATTACCCTCTTAATATCCTCATTTCTGGGAAATTCGTCTATTTTGCATACCGAAATGGAAAAGCAAATAACTGAGGAACTGTAAGCCCAAATTACATGTGTGATATGTTATTTGGAAGCTAACACCTTCTAGTTTCTGAATATATCCATGAAGATCGGGTGAGTAAAACACCCAAGCTGCGTCAAGCCCAAGCTGCATCAGGTCAAACATGACTCAAAGTTGTTTTTTTATTCTCGAAAATAAGTCTTTTTTCAACAGCAGTAATAAAGACATGCTTGCTTGTTGTAGCTGCTTTGTCATGCGACATTTCGACATGCTGCTATAATTGTGCTTTGGTGCTCGCTATGTCCATAAAATGAACTAGCTGGTTGAATGGTGGAGAATCTAAGCTTTCCAATTAATATTTTACCAGTTTAATTTTCATGCATTCTGAGTAATAATTAGTAAACGCTTTAAAACGGTTTTGAGAGGTTGAAAATTTTTTTAAAATAGTGCTACTCTTTCTTGAGTGCAGTTTTTGAGTACTATACCCACCTCAGGTTGTGCTTTATTTTATTTATTAATAAATAATTATCAAAAAGAAATAAATAACACTTCCATGAAATCGCTCTGGATTGGCACTTTGACATCCGATATAAAAATTACAGATATCCACACAAGCTATTTAGTCAATATTGGAACCAATATTAGATCCAGATTTGGGATCAGAGCATCCTAATAGAAAGATGAAATATAAAATAAAGAGAAAAGAACAGGGCTAAGCTAGCAAAGATGAGAGGATTTTAAATTGTTTCCCTTTAGCAAAGTCTCCAATTGACCTCAATGGTGGACGTAACAATGCATTTAACGATACCATTGAAAAATTCACAGAACTTGACACAGAGTCAGAGGGAGAGGTACATAACTGAAGGATCCAGCAAGGGGAAAATATTGAAATAAATTTTAAATAAATTATAACCAGTGGACGTATAAGCTGGTGGAGTAGAAAATTACAAAATACAGGTGAGAATCAAATAATAAGGTGGAGCAAAGAAGGAAGGCCGAGAGACTGAGGGAGGAAGACTAGGTAAAGGAAGCCTGAAAAGAAGCCGAATACAAATGCAGCGAGTCTAGTAAACCAAGAGGAAAGGGGTGAAAAGGTTCTAAGAAAAAAATATCTTAATGTGCAAGAAAATAACATTTCTACATTTTATAGAAACTAAAGTAATATTATTAGAATAGCGTAGTCATAATATTACTTTTATGACTACGCTATTCTAATAATATTGAACCAGGGGAAATAAACTAAAAATTGCAAGGTTCACATTTGTTTATTACAAAAAAGCATTATTGTTATCTCTCCTTATCTGTTTGGCTTCTGTACTAATATCTAACTAGTTTTACAAGCTCAAGAAAACTACATAGATGTTGAGTATTTTACTTACTGTGCTTGTGTGTACAAGGCTTTCCTAATGTGGTGGTTGACGTTTTGTATTTTATATATGTATTGTTATTTGTCAGGGTTTATGAAGTTGAAGTAGGAGTAGAAGCAGGCAGGGAAGATTTCTTGCAAAATTTTATGAAAAAGTAAAAATACAAAAACAAAAAAATACAATACTGCTTAAATATCAACCAAAACTGAAAAGAAACCATGATACAATATGACATAACTCAAAGTGTAACTGAAGGGTAACTGTAAACTTAAACAGAAACTTTAACAAAAGTCCACAAAGGGCAGAATCATGACAGTTAGTAGTATTGAAGAGGCTCAGTCGGCCTCAGCAGATGGCCGCTCACACTGAGCCTGGTTCTGCTGGAGATTTCTTCCTGCTAAAAAGGAGTTTTCCTCCCCACTGTCGCTACAAGCATGCTTGGTGTGAGGGATTGCCTTTGAGTCAATTGGTAGATGCAATCCGCTGGTTTTCCTTAGATAAAAAACTTCAACAACCAAGTTCTCTGAGCAGAGCAGGGTTAATAAGTCTTTGCATACAATATGAGGATTGTAATCCAACTAAATTCTTTTGCAAACAGAATGAAAAGTGATTAATTTCAGTGCTGGCTTGTATCTCAGGATTTGTCTTAAGTATTTCTTTCTTATTACTTTGCTTTATGATAAGCTCTGTGTTTAGTAAAGGGGCATAGTCATATATTATGCCTAT